ACAAGTTGACCAGATACTTGAGTCAACAAGTTGACCAGATACTTGAGTCAACAAATTGACGAGATACTTTAGTCAACAAGTTGACCAGATACTTGAGTCAACAAAGTAACATGATATTTAAGTCAACAAATTGACCAGTTAATTAAGTCAACAAATTGACCAGATACTTAAGTCAACAAATTGACGAGAGCCTTAAGTCAAAAAATTGACGAGAGCCTTAAGTGACCAGTAATTGAACCGCCCATGCCTACGTCACGAGGTTGTTTAGTGCAGTCTTAAAACTACCATCACAGACCAGAGAAAGTGAAGCAACAACGATCTTCAACAAATACCAACTTCAGCAGAGGTCATCTTAACCTTTCCTAGGCTGGGCCAGTGTTTGGTCGACCGGCAAGTCCAAAACTTTATGACCCAATAAATGCTGGAGGTTTTTTTCTTGAAATAAAAGAAAGCCATTTGCGCTATTCACTATGGCCGTTTAAAACCAATTGTAAACTCTCTATTGAAGATCGAATGGAAATTATCGATATATCGACACGACAAGAATCTTTTGTCCGACTCACCCGTCATTTCTGTATGGGCAAGTGATGGGAACACACAGCTTCAAGGTGTGTAGCACAGTAGCACAGTGTGTCACGGACATACAACACACAGCTTCAAGGTGTGTAGCACAGTAGCACAGTGTGTCACGGACATACAACACACAGCTTCAAGGTGTGTAGCACAGTAGCACAGTGTGTCACGGACATACAACACACAGCTTCAAGGTGTGTAGCACAGTAGCACAGTGTGTCACGGACATACAACACACAGGTTCAAGGTGTGTAGCACCGTGTCACCGACATACAACACACAGGTTCAAGGTGTGTAGCACCGTGTCACCGACATACAACACACAGGTTCAAGGTGTGTAGCACCGTGTCACCGACATACAACACACAGGTTCAAGGTGTGTAGCACCGTGTCACCGACATACAACACACAGGTTCAAGGTGTGTAGCACCGTGTCACCGACATACAACACACAGGTTCAAGGTGTGTAGCACCGTGTCACCGACATACAACACACAGGTTCAAGGTGTGTAGCACCGTGTCACCGACATACAACACACAGGTTCAAGGTGTGTAGCACCGTGTCACCGACATACAACACACAGGTTCAAGGTGTGTAGCACCGTGTCACCGACATACAACACACAGGTTCAAGGTGTGTAGCACCGTGTCACCGACATACAACACACAGGTTCAAGGTGTGTAGCACCGTGTCACCGACATACAACACACAGGTTCAAGGTGTGTAGCACCGTGTCACCGACATACAACACACAGGTTCAAGGTGTGTAGCACCGTGTCACCGACATACAACACACAGGTTCAAGGTGTGTTGCACACTGTGTCACCGACATACAACACACAGGTTCAAGGTGTGTAGCACCGTGTCACCGACATACAACACACAGGTTCAAGGTGTGTAGCACCGTGTCACCGACATACAACACACAGGTTCAAGGTGTGTAGCACCGTGTCACCGACATACAACACACAGGTTCAAGGTGTGTAGCACCGTGTCACCGACATACAACACACAGGTTCAAGGTGTGTAGCACCGTGTCACCGACATACAACACACAGGTTCAAGGTGTGTAGCACCGTGTCACCGACATACAACACACAGGTTCAAGGTGTGTAGCACCGTGTCACCGACATACAACACACAGGTTCAAGGTGTGTTGCACACTGTGTCACCGACATACAACACACAGGTTCAAGGTGTGTAGCACCGTGTCACCGACATACAACACACAGGTTCAAGGTGTGTAGCACCGTGTCACCGACATACAACACACAGGTTCAAGGTGTGTAGCACCGTGTCACCGACATACAACACACAGGTTCAAGGTGTGTAGCACCGTGTCACCGACATACAACACACAGGTTCAAGGTGTGTAGCACCGTGTCACCGACATACAACACACAGGTTCAAGGTGTGTTGCACACTGTGTCACCGACATACAACACACAGCTTCAAGGTGTGTAGCACAGTAGCACAGTGTGTCACGGACATACAACACACAGCTTCAAGGTGTGTAGCACAGTAGCACAGTGTGTCACGGACATACAACACACAGACTCAATGTGTGTTGTACAGTGTGTCACCGACATACAACACACAGGCTCAATGTGTGTTGTACAGTGTGTCACCGACATACAACACACAGGCTCAATGTGTGTTGTACAGTGTGTCACCGACATACAACACACAGGTTCAAGGTGTGTAGCACAGTAGTACAGTGTGTCACCGACATACAACACACAGACTCAATGTGTGTTGCATAGTAATACAGTGTGTCACTGACGTATAACACACTAGCATACAGTGTGTCACGGACGTATAACACACTAGCATACAGTGTGTACCACAATGTGACACGGGCATATAACACACAGGCTCACAGTGTGTACCATTATATGACACGTATATATAAAACATATATAACACAATATATATATATATAACACATTATCTCCAAGTGTGTAGCTCAATATGTTAGAACACATCATAACAATACAATGGACACAATCGCTAAAATTTACATCTAAAACAAAAGCTCGCCAAACTTTACAACTAAAACAAAAGCTCGCCAAACTAAAACCAAGACTTCAGTAGACATCTACAGAGAGAAAACAACACAGAATGCGATCAAGCTTGCACAGATATTCAACTACACGAGAGTGTAGGAGCACCTAATTAACTTAGACCGAGGACAACAGAAAAATAATTTATCATAAATTACAAAGACACAAAATAAACTCTCCATAAGCTTTTATTTAGTTCACACTGTCTGTCTGTGTGTTGGTGGGTTTGTGGCCAATCTTTTGGTTCAGGTTTGCAAACTACCATCTTAGTCCGTGGTATGTTCTCAAGCGTGAAACCAACCACCCGTGACCAACGGTTCAATCCCCCTTCTCCAGGTGGACTTTAATTGTGCACAAAATAAAATTCTATTAAAAGACTGCGACAACAAGGTATTTCAAAATGGCAAGTATTAACTGTATTTTCGTGGTCGGCGTGGTCGAGTTGGTAAAGCTAATGGTTTCTGAACAGAAAAGTCTCGAATTCGAACCCTCGACAGCTGTGGACAGCATCTCTTCCATGAGAGACAACTCAGACAACTGCTGCCTTTAGTTTGTTCCTGGTTGGACAAAGGCTACGGAGGCAAATCCAACAGCCGATCCAAAAAGAAAAGCAGGCTGAAATCGGATTCAACGGCTAGTGGCAAATGATACTTTACAACTTAAATTAAGAGCACAGAAGAGTTCTTCAAACTCTCAAGTATCGAACTATACTTTTATACTTTTATACTTTTTAGATTAATTCTAAACCTAACATGTATAGAAATCAGGACATGAGGACATGAGGACCTCAGGACTTGAAGACGGCAAGGTGTAGAATAATTTAATTTCATACAGAATATCTAACCCTATCCCTAACTGAAAAGGATTTCCCTCCCTACGCCTACCCTAACCCACTCCCTTATGCTATGTTTATAAACTCCCATAATCCTATCCCTTCCTAACCTTATTCTTAACCCTAACACTATCCTTATTCATATCCTTATTTCTAACCCAAATCATAACCCTGTCCGTTTCCCTATAATGTTTAGGGTCATTTGGTAATCCAGTAGGTGATACATGTTCTACTGCAGTTTTTGGGCGGGGGGGGGGGGGGGGTAAATGTACACAACTGACGATCTTCTGTAAGCCATCTCTTGTTACCATGGCAACCTCCCCCAACTGCATACTATACTTCTATTTACATTGACAACCCGAACAGCTTAGTTATGTGTAACCATAGCAACCCCTCTAACATTTTATCCCATCATCCTCTTCAAATCATGTGGACTCTTTGATGACATAAACCTAAGCTAGCTAAATCTCCCCAGAGGCCCCCCCACCCTCCTCATTTACACACACCAACTCCCACTCACACAAACACCCTCACACGGAGACTGGCACACATACACACACACAGACAGAGCGACATACAAGTGAAATAAAGTAAAATAGATAGAGAAATATAATCGCCAATTTGACGTCAGCGTTTTGTTGAGTTACCAACCTTGGTCTGGCTGTGGTTGTTGAGTTACCAACCTTGGTCTGGCTGTGGTTGTTACCAACCTTTGGTCTGGCTGTGGTTGTTGAGTTACCAACCTTTGGTCTGGCTGTGGTTGTTGAGTTACCAACCTTGGTCTGGCTGTGGTTGTTACCAACCTTGGTCTGGCTGTGGTTGTTACCAACCTTGGTCTGGCTGTGGTTGTTGAGTTACCAACCTTGGTCTGGCTGTGGTTGTTGAGTTACCAACCTTGGTCTGGCTGTGGTTGTTACCAACCTTGGTCTGGCTGTGGTTGTTACCAACCTTGGTCTGGCTGTGGTTGTTGAGTTACCAACCTTGGTCTGGCTGTGGTTGTTGAGACGTTGTTAAGAGTTGTATGGAACACTATACGTGCTGAGCGGGGGTGGGATGGAAGGGCGTGGGGGGAGGAGGGGCTCCGCTCGTTTAGAAAAGTTTACAGAACTTTATAGTTTGTAGAGTTGACGGATGTGTCCAAAGTTTGGTGTTTGAGAGCTTAGAGCTTAAACACCTTAGCTCAGAAATAAATTTTTAGGTGGAGAAAGTTGAGCTTAGGTTGATGGTGACTGAGGTTGATGGTGACTGGGCTTAGGTTGATGGTTACTGGGCTTAGGTTAATGGTGACTGTGGTTGATGGTGACTGAGGTTGATGGTGACTGGGGTTGATGGTGACTGGGCTTAGGTTGATGGTGACTGGGCTTAGGTTAATGGTGACTGGGGTTGATGGTGACTGAGGTTGATGGTGACTGGGCTTAGGTTGATGGTGACTGGGGTTGATGGTGACTGGGGTTGATGGTGACTGGGCTTAGGTTAATGGTGACTGTGGTTGATGGTGACTGGGCTTAGGTTGATGGTGACTGGGCTTAGGTTAATGGTGACTGGGGTTGATGGTGACTGAGGTTGATGGTGACTGAGGTTGATGGTGACTGGGGTTGATGGTGACTGGGGTTGATGGTGACTGGGGTTGATGGTGACTGGGGTTGATGGTTACTGGGGTTGATGGTGACTGAGGTTGATGGTGACTGAGGTTGATGGTGACTGGGGTTGATGGTGACTGGGGTTGATGGTGACTGGGGTTGATGGTGACTGGGGTTGATGGTGACTGGGGTTGATGGTGACTGGGGTTGATGGTGACTGAGGTTGATGGTGACTGAGGTTGATGGTGACTGAGGTTGATGGTGACTGAGGTTGATGGTGACTGGGGTTGATGGTGACTGAGGTTAATGGTGACTGAGGTTGATGGTGACTGGGGTTGATGGTGACTGGGGTTGATGGTGACTGGGGTTGATGGTGACTGGGGTTGATGGTGACTGGGGTTGATGGTGACTGTGGTTGATGGTGACTGAGGTTGATGGTGACTGGGGTTGATGGTGACTGTGGTTGATGGTGACTGTGGTTGATGGTGACTGGGGTTGATGGTGACTGGGCTTAGGTTGATGGTGACTGGGGTTGATGGTGACTGGGGTTGATGGTGACTGGGGTTGATGGTTACTGGGGTTGATGGTGACTGGGGTTGATGGTGACTGGGGTTGATGGTGACTGGGGTTGATGGTGACTGGGGTTGATGGTGACTGGGGTTGATGGTGACTGGGGTTGATGGTGACTGGGGTTGATGGTGACTGGGGTTAGGTTAATGGTGACTGTGGTTGATGGTGACTGGGCTTAGGTTGATGGTGACTGGGCTTAGGTTAATGGTGACTGGGTTGATGGTGACTGAGGTTGATGGTGACTGGGGTTGATGGTGACTGGGGTTGATGGTGACTGGGGTTGATGGTGACTGGGGTTGATGGTGACTGGGCTTAGGTTAATGGTGACTGAGGTTGATGGTGACTGGGGTTGATGGTGACTGGGCTTAGGTTAATGGTGACTGGGGTTGATGGTGACTGGGGTTAATGGTGACTGAAGTTGATGGTGACTGTGGTTGATGGTGACTGAGGTTGATGGTGACTGGGGTTGATGGTGACTGGGGTTGATGGTGACTGGGGTTGATGGTGACTGGGGTTGATGGTGACTGGGCGAGAGAGCTCAACTCTATTAGTCGAGTGAAAGACTCTTACAACATGGGCGTGTCACTGGCAGCAGACGACCAACTGTGGGCGCCGGACAACCGGAAATTGCCGGTCACCAGGTCATCGGACAATACGTTCGGACAGAAAGAGGAGCAGTTTTATACTTGGAGCAGTATTTCTACATAGTAGCAGTATTGTTTACATAGGAGCAGTATTTCTGCAATGTGATTAAGTTTTAATTCTAGAGCAGTATTTGTTAAGATCAAGATTTAATTCTAGAACAGTATTTGTAAAGATCAAATTTTAATTCTAGAACAGTATTTGTAAAGATTGAGATTTAATTCTAGAACAGTATTTATAAAGATCCAGATTTAATTCTAGAACAGTATTTATAAAGATCCAGATTTAATTCTAGAACAGTATTTGTAAAGATTCATCAAAATTTAATTCTAGAACAGTATTTGTAAAGATCAAGATTGAATTCTAGAACAGTATTTGTAAAGATTCATCAAGATTTAATTCTAGAACAGTATTTGTAAAGATTCATCAAGATTTAATTCTAGAACAGTATTTGTAAAGATTCATCAAGATTTAATTCTAGAACAGTACTTGTAAAGATTCATCAAGATTTAATTCTAGAACAGTATTTGTTAAGATCAAGATTTAATTCTAGAACAGTATTTCGAAGCACATTTTTAACGTAATCTAATACCAGGCTTCATCTTATTAGAAAAAAGTAAAAAGCGAAGTAAAGATTTTAATATTTTAAAATTTATTTGAAATCTGACAGTCTACGGAGACAGAACACTCGCGTTAATGTCCTGACAGTGACGTCATCAGCTAATGAATTCTCATCAACTTGCCAAGCAGAAGACTCGGTAGAGGGGTGGACAGGCGATGACGTGGTGTGGGTGATGTTTGGACGATTGGCAGCAGACTCTGGCACTCAGGTAAGCTGTCACGTGACGGCCGTACAGCTTTACCTCTGGGGAGGGGACGAGTGAGGCGGACCGAGAGTTGTGGGTGTGGCTAGGTAGGCCGGCGCTTGTTGAGCACCAACAGGAAGCTGCCACGTCTGCAAGTCTCAACTCACGGCCGGATGTTCCAGAAGAGATTGTCGCAATTTCACTGGCAGGCAGGAGTTCTGCTAGGGCCAACAAGGCAGCTGCCTAAGGGCCTCGCCTACCTCCATCCACCCCCCCCCCCCCCCCCCACACACACACACATAACAAGCTTTGTTAATTGCGTTTCTGATCTAAGTCTTTAATTAAGTAAGGACATAAACAAAGAGAAAAAACAAACTATAAATAGTAAAAGTTAAAAACAAGCTTACGGGTTAGAGGCTAGTCTATTTGTCTTCGTACCAGCAGCAAAACTTGTAGGTTAGAGAGTAGATGAATTAAACAAATATCACTTACAACAAACTTGTAGGCTAGAAAGTAGATAAAGTAAACAAATATCACTTACAACAAGTAGATAAAGTAAACAAATATCACTTACAACAAACTTCTGGGTTAGAGAGTAGATAAAGTAAACAAACATCACTTACAACAAGTAAAGATTACTGGAAGGCCGAAGGGTATCAATGTGAATCTTAGTATTTAAGCCAGCGGTTTTATACTGGCTAACAAATAACAAAGTTTGTAAACAAAGGGGACGAGGGAAGTTAACAAAACAGCCTCCGTCTTTACCGGCATTACGGTTACCTCACCGCTTTACGGTTACCTCACCGCTTTACGGTTACCTCACAGCTTTACGGTTACCTCACCGCTTTAGGGTTACCTCACCGCTTTACGGTTACCTCACCGCTTTAGGGTTACCTCACCGCTTTAGGGTTACCTCGCCGCTTTACTGCTACGTCATCGCAATACGGTTACCTCACCGCTTTACCTAGCATTACTGAGATAAGACAACTGACCAGAATAATGTAGATACTTGTCACATTTTGTCATGTAACTGACCAGAATATACATGTCAAATTTTGTCCGGCAAGATCTTGATGCGTGCTGTTCAAATTATGACTTCACAAGTTGACTTAAACCGCTACAGATATTTTACACGTCAGCAATCAGTCAACTTGAATAGACTGTTGGTTTGGTGCCTGAAAAACTATTTAAATAAACTTCTAATTTTTCTCGTTTCAAAATAGTTTCGGTCGTTGAATATCCCGCAGTTTAACAACGTTAGCCACCCAAATAGCCATTCCACAACGTTAGCCACCCAAATAGCCATTCCACAACGTTAGCCACCCAAATAGCCATTCCACAACGTTAGCCACCCAAATAGCCATTCCAGGTTTTCTGTCTAGTCTGTTAAATCATTATGTTTTTTTCTGCTTTGTACCTACACACTTACAAAAATGATACGTTCTATTCAAACGCAAAATCAAAATATATTATTTCTATACGTTCCATTCAACAACAAAATATATTATTTCTATACACTCCATTCAATCACAAAACGTATTATTTCTATACACTCCATTCAATCACAAAACGTACTATTTCTATACACTTCATTCCATCACAAAACGTATTATTTCTATGCACTCTATTCAATCACAAAACGTATTATTCCTAACTAAACTTCTCACGGTGTTAGCGACGAATTAAATATTTTAAAATCTTGTATTGCTCTCATTTTCACATCCCTGAAAAACCCCGAGCGTCCAGCAGCTTTTTGTTTCCGTCATTTCAAAATCTCCGACACGCGATAGTTTAAAAGGTTTCAAATGAAATACATTATTCAAACTTCAAATTGACATGATGTATATTTTCCAATAAAAGCGTTTAAAAATTGTGTCAGATCCCCCCCCCCCCACCAGCAATATCTACCATCTAATCCCCTGGGGTCGTCTTACCTGTGGAGCCCCACCCAAGTTTACTCGAGGGGAGAGGGGTGGGGGTATTGGAAACGTTGAAGAAATGTTGAACATTTTTGTTTTCAATTGGCGCCACTACACTTCAACAAGCCAGTGGAAATATTGAACAAACCACAGGCTCATGGAGATATAGACCTTTGGTGTGGTCCATTCTTTGTTGTGGTCCATTCTTTGTTGTGGTCCATTCTTTGTTGTGGTCCATTTTTTGTTCTGTGGTCTATTCTTTTTTATGTGAAGTCGATTTTTTTGAGCGCATAAACAAGATTCTTATTGAAAAAATTGCATTCCTTGGTTTTTGTTTTTGTCTAAATTCAATATCGTCCCACACCCCTCCACACCCACTCCCACACCACTCCACACCATTCCACACCCACTCCACACCCACTCCACACCCACTCCACACCACTCCACACCCACTCCCACACCACTCCACACCATTCCACACCCACTCCCACACCACTCCACACCATTCCACACCCACTCCACACCCACTCCACACCCACTCCACACCACTCCACACCCACTCCCACACCACTCCACACCATTCCACACCCACTCCCCCTCTACACCACTCCCCCTCCACAACCACTCCCACACCCCTACACACCCCTACACACCCACTCTACACCTACTCCTAAACCCACTCCTACACCACTCCCACACCCCTACACACCCACTCCACACCACTCCACACCCACTCCACACCCACACCCACTCCCACACCACTCTCCCTCCACACCCTCTCCCAATAAACATAAACGATGGATCAATAGCACAGAGCTAGGGTCTCAATGAATTATTAAATAAGCCTTCGGACACTTGGCTGTGTCCAAACGCCGAGGGCTTGACTTAAGTCACCCATCTGACTTTAGTCATCTTCGGACTTCAGTCATCCGTTTGTCTTCAGTCACCCGTCTGTCCTCAGTCATCCGTCTAATTTGAGTCACCCAAGATATGACTTCACACATACAAGTCCCCACTTATTGTAACAACAGCGGTCAGTGCAGTGCCACAGATAGAGAGCACGCAAGCAGTATTTAATGGGACTATTCGTTATGTCAGTATAAAGAATAGTTTTACCGTGCGTACATCTAGTAGAAGGAATGTATTGCCAGATCTATTAAAAATAAACCTGTCAGACTTGAACACTTAAGAAATAAACCGGGAGTGATCTCCCCTAAACTTTTTACAATATTCTTATATAACACTACGGGGGACAGCAACTCAGGATATAGACATGATTTTGTATCCACTTTTAATTACTTAAACTTTTTAAAATAGAATAGAATCTCGTAGAAAAAAGAATTGCACACCAAGTGAACACCAAATAAAATGTGTATAATAGTGCAAAATATTATTAGTACTTTATAAATTCACATGCTGATTTTTGAGAAATCAGAAAAAGCGTAAATTACTACTTCTGGTCAACGGAAGTTACTCAAAATTTGATAGAAGGCAGAGAATTAGATCTTTTACTTATATGTGAAATTCCATTTATCTATTTGAAACAGTACTCATGTTATACGCTTTTGAAAAATTCAAAGCAAAAAAGTTTCACTTCCAGTTATCGGAAATCGCTCAAACGTCGATACGGATCTACAATTTTGATAAAATACTTATATATGAAATTTTATCAACCTAGCTGTAACGGTACTCAAGTTATCTTGTTTACAGACACACACACACACAGACACACACACAGACATACGAAATTGCAAAACTATGTTTTTCCGACTCAGGGAAAACGTCGAGATTTGCAAAATTCTCGATTATTTTATTTTTGTGCACGATTACAATATATTCTCTTTAGTTCGTATACGAGAAAGTAAAAGGTCACAGGAAAAAAGTCACAAATATTTGCATGGTATTTGTCAGGATGTATTTAGTATTCAGAAATTGGAAATCAAAATTTGATTCATTAAATGCACTGTAAAATTGTAGATGTATGTGCATGAGTTGAAATTGTACGGTAATATTTATAACAGGTAAAATATCTTGTCTGAAGTATAAAGATTTATATTCCGTTATACACCATAAAACCATAAATCTCTTAAAGTTTATAAATATGTTACTAAAATTACACCACCCACTTTTATAAAAACCCAAAATTTTGTCACTTTTTATGTGACTTTATTTCTGTGTCTTTTTTCGGATACAATTTTTTTATTTTACTTTATCTGTGACTATTTTTCCTAGCAAAAAATGCAATTTTATTACAGTGACTTTTTTCCCCCAATACATTTTTGGTGACTTTTTTATGTAACTTTTTTCCTGTGCCTTTTTTCCTTACAAAAACTTTGACTTTTTTTCTGTGACGTTTTTTCTGTGACTTGTTTCCGCTGACCGAGCAGGCACCTACAGTGAAAGGTTACACGGTCGCTGTAATCTTACAACAAAAAACACTTTTAGTCACAATTCTTTTTTCCCATTGCGAGCAATGTCCTGGCTATGCCCCGAGTGAATTGTGTTTGCTTGAAATACGGTGTAGTTGTATTTTGGAGGGGTGTGGTGTATTTTGGAGGGGTGTGGTGTATTTTGGAGGGGTGTGGTGTATTTTGGAGGGGTGTGGTGTATTTTGGAGGGGTGTGGTGTATTTTGGAGGGGTGTGGTGTATTTTGGAGGGGTGAGGTGTATTTTGGAGGGGTGTGGTGTATTTTGGAGGGGTGTGGTATATTTTGGAGGGGTGTGGTGTATTATAGGGTTACAAGATCTGCCGTATGTTACACATAAGAGGCCGCCATATGATGTAAATTACAAGATAAACTGTCGCCATACAACATATGTAATGTATGCTATAAGATCAGTCCATCATATGCATGTAACAAGTGGTCGCTTTACAGTCTATGTTATAGAGACGTCGCCACTTTGTTGTTAGAAGATACTCTCATAATCCCACGGAGCAGGTGAAGTAGAGTTTACTTGTTTTGTGGCCACTATCCTTACAAGGTGTATTTCTATAAAAGTGACGAGAACTTTTTTTAATACAACCAACATACGACAGGTACTAATTTTCGCTGAGGACACTCAGTGATGTTTAACAAATATCCCCCAGGGACAGATGAATGTGTGTATATCACATGAAATGTCACGTTGTTGTCACACGTGACTTATGTCTTTGTTCTCAGTCATGTAATCCCAGCTGTTGTATATTTGAAGACGAAAATAATGTTCACGAATACAGACGTATTACAAACGCTGCATTATTTATACAGGTTTATAGTTTTTTTTCATTCAAATGTATACAATGTAGCAGCTTTAAAATAATGCCACACATACCACTAGGCCACCCACACCACTAGGCCATCCCACACCACTAGGCCATCCCACACCACTAGGCCATCCCACACCACTAGGCCACCCACACCACTAGGCCACTCACTAGGCCACTCACTAGGCCACTCACACCACTAGGCCACCCACACCACTAGGCCACCCACACCACTAGGCCACCCACACCACTAGGTCACTCACTAGGCCACCCACACCACTAGGTCACTCACTAGGCCACTCACACCACTTGGCCACTCACTAGGCCACTCACACCACTAGGCCACCCACACCACTAGGCCACTCACTAGGCCACTCACTAGGCCACTCACTAGGCCACTCACTAGGCCACTCACTAGGCCACTCACTAGGCCACTCACACCACTAGGCCACTCTTTAGGCCACTCACTAGGCCACTCACACCACTAGGCCACCCACACCACTAGGTCACTCACTAGGCCACTCACTAGGCCACTCACTAGGCCACCCACACCACTAGGCCACTCACTAGGCCACCCACACCACTAGGCCACTCACACCACTAGGCCACTCACTAGGCCACTCACTAGGCCACCCACTAGGTCACTCACTAGGCCACCCACTAGGCCACTCACTAGGTCACTCACTAGGCCACTCACTAGGCCACTCACTAGGCCACCCACACCACTAGGCCACTCACTAGGCCACCCACACCACTAGGCCACTCACACCACTAGGCCACTCACTAGGCCACTCACTAGGCCACCCACACCACTAGGTCACTCACTAGGCCACTCACTAGGCCACTCACTAGGCCACCCACACCACTAGGTCACTCACTAGGCCACCCACACCACTAGGTCACTCACTAGGCCACTCACTAGGCCACTCACTAGGCCACTCACTAGGCCACTCACTAGGCCACCCACACCACTAGGTCACTCACTAGGCCACTCACTAGGCCACTCACTAGGCCACTCACTAGGCCACTCACTAGGCCACCCACACCACTAGGTCACTCACTAGGCCACTCACTAGGCCACTCACTAGGCCACCCACACCACTAGGCCACTCAGTAGGCCACTCACTAGGTCACTCACTAGGCCACTCACTAGGCCACTCACTAGGCCACTCACTAGGCCACTCACTAGGCCACCCACACCACTAGGTCACTCACTAGGCCACTCACTAGGCCACTCACTAGGCCACTCACTAGGCCACTCACTAGGCCACCCACACCACTAGGTCACTCACTAGGCCACTCACTAGGCCACTCACTAGGCCACCCACACCACTAGGCCACTCAGTAGGCCACTCACTAGGTCACTCACTAGGCCACTCACTAGGCCACTCACTAGGCCACTCACTAGGCCACCCACACCACTAGGCCACCCACACCACTAGGCCACTCACTAGGCCACCCTCACCACTAGGCCACTCACTAGGCCACCCACACCACTAGGCCACTCACTAGGCCACTCACTAGGCCACCCACACCACTAGGCCACTCACTAGGCCACTCACTAGGCCACTCACTAGGCCACTCACTAGGCCACTCACTAGGCCACTCACACCACTAGGCCACTCGCTAGGCCACTCACTAGGCCACCCTCACCACTAGGCCACTCACACCACTAGGCCACTCACACCACTAGGCCACTCACTAGGCCACTCACTAGGCCACTCACTAGGCCACTCACTAGGCCACTCACTAGGCCACTCACACCACTAGGCCACTCACTAGGCCACTCACTAGGCCACTCACTAGGCCACTCACTAGGCCACTCACTAGGCCACTCACTAGGCCACTCACTAGGCCACTCACTAGGCCACTCACACCACTAGGCCACTCACTAGGCCACTCACACCACTAGGCCACTCACTAGGCCACTCACTAGGCCACTCACTAGGCCACTCACTAGGCCACTCACACCACTAGGCCACTCACTAGGCCAC